CTACTCAGAAGTGGTCTCACCAGGACCCTGTACAATGACAGTCAGGCTTTCCTGCTCTATGCTCCAAACCGCTTGAAATAAGTGCCAACATTCCATTAGTCTTTCTGATTACCTGCTGCACCTGGTGTTTATTGTTAAAGTACCTCCAAGTCCCTTTGTTTTGCAGCTTTTTGTAATTTTTCTCCATTTAAATAAAACAGTTGTTTAACTTTCACATTTTCATACATTATACTCCACCAACTTTTCATCTACTTGACCAATCAATATCTCACTGCAAACCATTTCTATCCCTCTTAGAACCTGCTTGCCACCTATTTCAGTGTCATCTGCAAATTTGGCTACAGAACATTAATTTCCTTCCTCCAAGTCATTAACATACATTGTAAACAGTTGCAGTCCCAGACTGATCCCTGTAGAACCCTACTGGTTGCTAACCTGAAAAGCCCTTTATTCCCCTTGCTGATTCCTGCTCATTAACCAATTCTCTATTTATGCCAATATACTATCTCCAACACAATGGGCTCTTATCTTATGACTTAATCTGTTGTGAAGTACCTTGTTGAATGTCTTCTGGAAGACCAAATACAACACATCTACCAGACCCCTCTATCTATTCTGGTTGAGACTTCCTTGTAGAACTCTAATAAATTTGCATATTTCCTTTCCCCATGCTATTTGTTTAGATTATGATTTTTCAAATGTTCTGCTATTACTTCCCTAATGATTGATTCTAATACTTTTCCATTGATGTTGGGCTAATCATCCTCTGGTTACCCACTGGTTGCCTCCCTTCCTTTTAGAATAGTGCTGTCACTTTGGCAGTTTTCTAATCCTCTGATGCTTCTCCAGAATCCAACATTTTTTTTGGAAAATTACAACTAATACATCAACTATCTCTGTAGCTCCTAGGTAGCAAGCCATCAGAGATAGGGGATTTATCTACCTTTAGCCCCACTGGATTGTCTAATACCACTTCTCTAGTGATGGTGATGGAACTTAATTCGTCCCCATATTCTTTAGTATTAATGGAATATTCAAAGTAGCTTCCATAGTAACATCTGATACAAAATATCTGTTTAACTCCTCTGCCATTTCCTTGTTCCACAAAAGCTCTCCCTAGATTCATTTTCTAATGGGCCAATGTTAACTTTTACATCTCTCCCATTTTATAAATTTAAATAAACTTCGTTTCTACAGTCCTCACTAGTTTGCCTTCGTAGTTTATTTTCTGTCTTTATTCTCTGTTGAGTCTTCCTTTGCTGGATTCTGAATTCATCCCCGTCTTTGGGGCTATCAATCACTGACTTTGACTCCTTATATGTGCTTGTTATCTTAACTAAATATTATCTAACTTCCTTGGTTAGCTATGGTGGGTTTATCCCTTTCTTAGAATCTTCCCTCCTCAGTGGGTTGTATTTTTGCTGTGTCATGAATTACCTCCTTAAATGTCTGCCACTGCTTGCTAATCTATCTGCCCAGTTCACCTTAGCTAACTCTATCCTTAATTCATTGTAATTCCCTTTATTTAAGTTAAGTTAAAGGGCGTTGTTTCCGATCCAAGTTTTTCTCTCTCAAATTGAATAGTAAATTCTATCACATTATGATCAGTATTTCCCAGGGGATTCTTGTTTCTCCCCTCTCAGGTTATTTATTAAACCTGCCTCATTATCCATTACCTGATCCAAGAAAACCTGCTCCCTGCTTGGCTCAGAGACATATTACTCTTGGAAACTATCCTTAATGCACTATGAATTTGTTGTCGTAGCTACTCTTCCTAATTTGCTTAACCCAGCATCTGTGGAGACAAAACAGAGTTACCGTTTTAAGTCCAGTGACTCTTCACCAGAACTGGGAACAATATTGAGCGAGACAAATAGAACAGTCTGAAACGGTTGTTACAATAGAAGATACAAATTACATACCTGAAAGAAAGTGTACCTAAAAGGAGCTAAAAAAAAAAAGAACTCAAGTACTTAATATCAACAAAGGGGAAATAAGCCAACAAACATCAGGATTTCTAGGGTTCAGACAGAGAGATAGTGGACGTACTGGTTATGATTTTCAAAAATACCATACATTCTAGAATTGTGCAAGCAGATTGCAAATTAGCAATTGTACTATGAATTTTAAGTGAGAGCGAGGAAAACAGCGAACCACAGTCCTGACATCAGTTGTCAAGAAATACCCAAAGCAATTTAATGGGTGAGGAAGACAAGATTGCAATGATATACATAAACTGAGGGAGTGGACAAGGTGACAGATGGAGTCATGGGTATTTGTGAAGTTATTCACTTCATTAAAAAAGGACAGACCAGATTTTAAACAAAATGAATATGGTACCACAGAAGGCTGTAGAGGCTAGGTCATTAAATATATTTAATGGCTGAGATAGACAGATTATAAAACCAGTCATGTAGTCAATGGTTACAGGAATGGCAGGAAAGTGGAGTTGAGGATTACGAGATCAGTCATGAACTCATCGAATGGCAGAGCAAACTCAATGGGCTGAATGGACTACTTTTGCTTCTGCATTTTATTGGCTTATGAAGTTTCATATGCCACAGTTCATGATGTGGAGATGCCAGTGTTAGACAGAGGTGGACAAGGTCAGAAGTCACATTTCACCAGGTTATAGTCCAGAGCTAGTAAGAACTGCCGATGCTGGAGGCAGCAATAACACAGTGTGGAGCTGGAGGAACACTGCAGGCCAGGCAGCAGAGGAGCAGGAAAGTTGATGTTTGGGTCAGGACCCTTCTTCAGAATGGGGGGGGGGGGGGGGGGGGGGGGG